CCCCAAAACCCCAAAACCCCAAAACCCCAAAACCCCAAAACCCCGTATTTAAATAAAATTATTGGAATAATAATTAATATATAATATATCGACAATATGGAGAGTAATGTAGTAATGCTTATTGATGACCTCAGATGCAGCGAGGCGAAAAAGAAGTAAAAACACTAATATTTATCGCATAGAGTCAATGCCATCCAACAATTAGATAAGATAGCAAGAGTTATTGGTCCAGAAAGAACAAATTCAGAGCTATTACCATTCCTCATGGGTAAAGATATATTTGCATAACTTATTTAGACATTGTTGATGATGAAGATGAAGTACTCCTTGAACTTGCAAAAGCCTTGGGAAACTTTCTCGAGTATCTTGGCGGAAAGAAAAATTTTTCAGGACTCATAAAGCCACTAGAGTCTCTTTGTACAGTTGAAGAAGGAACTGTCAGAACCCAAGCAGCGAAAAGCATTAAGAAAATTTTAAGTCAAATAAGGGTGAAAGATTTCGAGGATGATTTTATCAAGCTCTTTGGAAGACTTGTCAAAGGAGACTGGTTCACTAGCAAAGTATCAGCTACGGTTATTCTGCCTTCGCTCTACCCAGAAGTATCCCTATCAGGCCAAAAGCAATTATTTAAATTATTCTCTCCTCTTTGTGAAGACAGTATTCCCCAAGTGAGAAAAGCAGCAGCTATTGCATTAAAGGACTTGATCCTCCACATTCCTAAGGCTCCTGAGGCTGATCTCCTTGAATTATTCGAAAATCTTCAAAGGGACACTCAAGATATGGTAAAAATGCAAGGAGTTGAATGCTGAATTAATTTTGCTAAAGTACTTGATACTTCGAAGTTCCAGAGATATATTTCTCCATACATTAAAGCTTATGCAGAAGAGAAGTCCTGGAGAACGAGATATCTCTTTGCAACTAAGATTGATGAATTTGGAAAAGTTTTAGGCGAAGAATTTACCAATACAAAATTGATTTCGTATTACTGATCCTTCTTGAAAGATCCTGAGAGCGAAGTCAGGACTGCTGCAGCCTCTAAATTGTCTGAGTTATCGAAAGTATTGGATAAAGATTCCGTTCTTGATTTGATTGTTCCAACATTCAAAGGATTAGCAGATGATAGTTTCACTTATGTTAGAGTAGCGCTTGCAGAAAATATGCTTTCTGTTTGTCCGATTATTGGAAAATCCCAGACTAATGATCATATTATTCCTGTTTTCTTGCAGTTTTTGAGAGATACTGAATCTGAGGTGAGGCTTGCTGTATTCAAAAATCTGATCAATCTGAATAAAGTTATTGGCTTAGAATCTCTCTCTGCTAGTATTATTCCGGCCATCTCAGAACTTTCAGGAGATAAGAACTGGAGAACAAGAGTTTCAGTCATTGAAATGCTTCCTCTACTGGCTGAGCAACTGGTAAATGTCTTGTTTTAAAATTTAGGGTGAAGAAGTTTTCAAAGAAAAACTTCTCAAAATGCTTCTAGAATGGCTATCAGACCCAATTTTTAGCATTAGAGAGCACACAATGATTGCTATAAATAATCTTGGTCTAATTTTTGGGAATGCATGGGTAGAGTCAAGCGTTCTGCCCACACTGCTGAGCTTCGAAAACAATGAGAACTACTTATTCAGACAAATCCCTTTGATAGCATTCAGGAACTTATCTGGCTGCCTTAGCCCAGAGTTTTACTCGGAGAATGTGTTCCCTGTATTGAGCACCTTTGCGACTGACAAAATCATCAACATCAGAATGAACGTGTCCAGAGTCATAATGGAGTTCTCCCATAAGCTAAAAGGAACTGAGGCTGAAGAGAAAACTGTTAGTTTACTTAATGCACTGAAGAACGATCCTGAATTTGATGTTTCCTATTTTGCAATTCAGGCTCTCAGGAAATTTGAATAAGTTGCCATATGCTCATGATTAAATATTTTGTTGGTGAAGAGGGGTTTTGGGGTTTTGGGGTTTTGGGGTTTTGGGGTTTTGGGGTTTTGGGG